TGGTGAAGAACTGAGAGTCGCCTCTTTTGTTATAATAAGAATTATAAGGGTGTTATTTATGGCACGTCTGCTTTATGTAAATTCAAGCAACTGTAATCTGTCTGAAACTGTTAAGTGATGGGTAGTAATGCCAAGGGAAATCTCTTTTCAGACTCACCTCGCTTTGAGCTACAATATTCTTTTGCTTTAATATCTTTTCTGTTTGGCACCAATTGCTCAGTGAGCCATGCTGTATTATATCACAATTTCAGTGCAAAGGTTCATCGATCGGCACATCAATTTATTGATTTCTTGAAATCTGTTAGTGTTGCATTTTGCAGGTCGATGAAGGTTCAGAACTTCCGCCATAGAAATTACTATCACCGAAAAAGATCTTCAGAATGTTGGTCAAATTATTTTGCTGCAGAGCCCTACTGTCACTAATTAATTTTTTCTGTGTGTTTCAGAGAGTGCGATAGAAAGCTGGCTGATATGTCTCCTGTATTTATTGGTGATGGATTTCGGAAGAAGTCCAGATTTTATTATAAGGGAGATGGTTTTTACTACTACAAGAATAGGACATTAGTAAACGAATCAGCTTCTCTGAGGTGTATCAATTGGAAAAGACTTCGTTGTCCTGGTAGAGCTGTGGCATCAAAAGACTGGAAGTCCTTGACTATCAGTACTGACCACACATGTATGCCTAATTATAATTTCTGTAAAGTACGGAAGCTGAGACAAGCAATTATAGCCAGGTGCTCCTCTCGAGATACTACTCGTCCTAAAACTATTGTTTCTCAAGAGAGTGAGTGGTGAGTATTTTTGTCAATGTACATGACAATGAGTTGAGTTGTTGCGTGCAGTGTACATATATATTTATTATGGGGCATTTTCATATCATTTAGTTACTCAAGAGACATCAGACTTCAATGCTCAGCCAAAATATTGAGGTCAGCCATTAGAAGAGCAAGGATGAGAGTGGTACCTCGTCTACCCCATACCCTTTCTCAACTGGATGAGGTACTTCGGAGTGAGCAATTTAAGCATCTCACCATGACCAAGTCTGGAGATGGTTATTTGTATGCTGGAAGTTGTGGCTCAGCCAGGATGCGTTCCAGGTGTCTTATCTTTCAATCTCCAACTATGAAAGAAATTATGTGTACCTCTGCTAAAGAGGTTTTTGCTGATGCTACATGGGATGGGAGGCCATCCTGTCCTAATAGTAGCCAAGTCTTCTCCATGACTACATTATTAAATAATCAGGTCAGTTGACATACTTATGTGAAAGGTATGATGTTCCTGTGCCTTATACTTTATAATTAATTAATTCACATCAAGCAGACAAAGCCATCATACAGAAAGTTGTGATAAAAGTTTTTAAAAAACTTGTCAAAGAATTTTTTTAGAAAATTAATGCTGCGTACTTTTCTCTTTGATCATCTTCAGTGTGTCATCTTTTTTTAATTTTTAATTTTGTAAACACTTTTTTGTTGTTAATTTTGTAAACACTTCTTTTGCAGATTCTTCCCTTGTGTGTTTGTTTAATGGAGAGCAAATCAGAACACACATATACCATTCTTCTGCAAGCAATAAAAGAATTGAACCCTGGTTTCAAACCAGATAAAATTCACACTGATTTTGAATTTGCTGAGTACAACAGTTTCAAAAAAATATTTGTAGATGCAATTGTTGAAGGATGTTTGTATCACTACAGTAATGTAAGTAAATTTTCCATTTGCTTCTTGAGTGCATTGTTAATGTGCTTTAGTTTTGCCTTTTAATATTTACTCAAGATTGTTGTTTAACAGAATCTTAGTGCTCAAGCAAACAAGCTTGGTTTAGCACGCTTTATTGCTGCTAATGAAACAATTGATTCTTTGGTAAGGAGCTGCCTTGCCATTCCTCTTGTGCCCACCCCCAGAATTCCAGAAGCATTAGCAGCTGTTATGACTAGAGCTAGTGAGGAAAATTTTTATCGTGTCCTTGATCCTTTCTTCAAGTATGTTTATGAAGAGTATATTGCAAAGAGGACTCATGTGCTCTCTGTATACGGATCCGAAAACCGTACAAACAATGTTGCCGAGAGTTGGAACAATTCTCTGCAATTGGCAATGAATGTGAGACGACCAAATGTGTTCAATTTCATCAGTAAGTATTATATTATCCACAGTATGCAAAGTTGCACGTTACCTGTCTCCTTGCCACTTGATCTTTTCAGATGGTCTGCTTACTTTGGAAGAACAGGCAGCTCAAGATTATTTTGACATTAACAGGGGTGAGAACACCACAAGAGGACGAAAAGTCAGTGCTCTTGTTAATGATGCCAGGATATGCAATTTAACTAGATTACTAGATAGGAACCAGATAACTATGAGTAATTTCCTTAGAAATGCATCCAGAACATTAGAGAATCCTTACAGACGCCACTGCCCACGCCCTCCCCCCCAAGTTTAAACCTTTTGCACTTGTGTAATTGTTTACCAGCATAAAATTTCATTGACTAGTGTAATAAGAAAATTTCAAGTTCTTAATAATCACCCATGGCACCTGTTTCAATATCTTCTTTGTAAATTTGAAGTGTTCCATATTTTTGTGTTGATTTTCATTCTTCCATGGATACCTAAGGGGATGGTTCATTAAGCTGCCAAGTATATCTTGAGTATTGTGCCATAGACATTGTTGAAATTAACATGGTGTGAAATGAGCATTTGCCTTGGACGTTTTCTGCGGGTTGCACAAAATAACTTGGGTTGAATTTTTTGTCTTGTGATATATTTTTGTCATGTTGGAATATTTGTGTGAGCATGACTGTTTTATTATTCTTGTAAGTCTAAGATGTGTGATATTTCAAGCCTTTGTCAACTACCATAATATTCTGTAAAGTTTTCAATCTCAATGGTTCAGAACCAAGTGTACTGTTAAGTTGAATATGTTATGAAAGTAATGTAGTAATCTTGTATGTTTCATGCTCTCTGCGCAACCATTTTATGCTCTCAGTCGACAATACTTGGTTTACGTAATGAGATGCATGATTGTATTGTAATTTCAGCATTTAGTTACCTCAGGAAAGTGATATGTGATATAGTATTGTATCTTACAAATAAAGTACGCCACTCTTTATTCATATCTGCATTTTTAATCAACCTTCTTTACTAAAAAAAATAGATCAGGTGTTAAGAAAAGTGCTGGTAGGCAAGTTCACATTTAGGACATATGAGCTTCTTTTTGCAACATACAGTATGTCAAATTAGAATGAAGCTATCCAATTTCTTTCTACATTAAAAAACAACATACAAAAAGAAGGAACACTATTAGCTTAATACTTGTTCTCCTTGTCAAGGAAAGATACAGAAAAACAGTAACAATATAAATAAAGGGGGTAACACCCCAATTGGAATGTAAAAGAAACTCAATCATTAACACAGGCGTACACAAGAAACTTAATACTTGTCTAATGTAAAAACGTTTAAAGAAAGATATAGAAAAACACTGAAAATATTAAAAACACCCGCATTGGCATGTAAAACAAATACAAAAACAAATAGAAGTTGTAAGTATATCTTAAAGCATGCTAAGGTTTGTCCCCGTACAGCTTGTGAAAATCTTCGTAATGGGATAAATCTTTCACAGATACTGAAGGTTTGACACGCTCGGCAGCTTCCATCATATCATGCAGCTCAATTGCTCTGATCTGCAAACAATGTAATTGTTTCAATCTTATTGTGTAAATACTTTAGCACCAACAGACATGGCCTAAAAGAGTAGTCAAACTTTTACCTCAGAGAGTTCAACTGTTTCGAGGAAACCACTCCATTCTCGAACAGGTGTCATTGAGGCCTCTGCGCAGACCTTCGCTATGTCGGCTCCAGAGTAGCCCTCTAAGGAATTGGCTATTTTCTCATGCGCTAATACGGCCTTCAGAATTTGAAGTCGCCCCTGGAAATGAATTCAAAAAAATTATTTACTCCACAAAGATGGAAGTTTCATCTAATACATAAGAGTGAAGTTACCTGATTATCAGGCAATGGTATCATGAACCGCTTTTGGAAGCGGCGCCTAATTGCCTCATCTAAGTCATCTGGGCGGCTGGTCGCCCCAATGACCAATACATTGTCAGCTTCCTGTGATAATGCAGCACCGTCCTAAAAACAAGATAAAAAAAGGTACAATCTGATAATCAACAATAATTGTTCCTGCCTGACACTTAAATGCCTATCTGACATGGTCAGAAAACTTACCATCTGAACAAGAAATTCAGTCTTCATTTTTTTTTTGATGACTCATTTTCTTTCTCTGTTCGTTTTGACGGAATGGAGTCTACCTCATCGATAAAGATGATCGGCGGTTGCATAGCTCTGTTTGGAGTAAAGATGATTGCAGTGCATTCTTGGTAAGATAATGCAAGTGCAGAGAACAGTAAAACTGAACTTCATAAGGAAATGACAAAGTACATGAAGCTATCACAATACATACACACCTAGCTACACCAAAGAGCGCTTGCACAGCTTTCTCACCGTCCCCCACCCACTTGGAGGTGAGCTTGCTGGCACTGACATTAAGAAAAGAAGAGTCGCACTGGGATGCAATGCATCGAGCTGAAACATTGAACGAAGTTCCCAAGGCAAAGAATAATAAGTCCACGGCTAAGAGAGCAACTGTTCCAGTTAACGTACCAATCATTGTTTTTCCAGTTCCAGGTGGCCCGTCCAACAGAACACCTTTCGGTGCTGCCCTGAGA